AAGTCAGAAAGGTTTAAATCAAATCATCCTCCACAACAATGACATTAATTATGCTTTTAACACGTTTTACTGCTTTTTTTCTCACTTCACGCCACATCTGTGTGAACAATATCCAAAAGATTTACGGTTTTCTTTCGTAATTACAGACATACAGGCTGCACACTTATCAAAATACTTGCTGAGCAATCACGCTGTATCGCATTCTCTGCCAAAGATTTGTGTTGGCAGCAGTCACTCAAAACAAAAATGTTGAATCAGGACTTGTGTGGCTTGGTGGGGGGAAGGGGGAGGTGGAGGAGGAAGTATTTCGACAAATAATTTGCCTGTCAAGAAATATAAAAACAGGAGAGTGTGCATCCTGGCAAATTTTCCAGGAGTGTTATTTTTATGGAGGGGGTTGGGGCGGTGTGTGTGTGGCGGGGACAGTGAGCAGGGAAGCTCTGAGCACCAACTACACATCTGACATTTGGTTCTTGTGTCTGAGGATAAAATTTAATGAGAACAAAAATATGTCTTCCTAATTCCCCTAAGAAATCATTAAAACATTTTGTTATTCTTAAATGTCTTGAAAATGAATTAGAGCCCTGAAGGGGCTGTTCCTACGGTATGTCCCCATCAGTTAAGGCTCCTTCTCTCTAACTCGGTGACAGCTGGGGATGCGCCTCCCCCCGCACCGCCCCTCCATTTCTAGAGCTGGGAAGGCAGACACGTGGAGTCAGCACCAGGCTTGGAACGACCCTTTGGGGAGAGGGGCAAGAGGGCACCAGAACCTTCCAGGAAGTTCCAGGCCAATCCTGGGAGCTCCCATGGTCCCTGACTGGCAGTGCGGTTCTGGACTCGTCTGTTAACAGACATTCTTCCAGAAAGATGAGGGCCCCATCGTGAACCCTAGAAATGATGCTCTTTTTCCAAGGGGGAGGATGTAAGCCACCCCTTACCCCAAATGCTCTCCTGGATTTGTGACAACAGGTTATTTGCATGATGGTCTGTTTACCTCTGCCACCAGAATGCAAGTTCCCTAAGGGCTGGGCCCGTGTCTGCATCAGGAGACTCACGGCCATGTTTCCAGTGTCATGCTCCCTGTTCACACAGCAGGCACTCAATAAATGCCATCTGAGTAGGTAAGCACGTGACAAACAGAAAGCACTAGTTGAAAAAAGTACCTTTTCATTTAAATAGCTCTTTTCCCTCTTTCTGTGTCTGAATCTTTTTTCTAATTCAATCAAGAAACAATTACTAGGTGGTTACTGTGTACTGGATTCAGAGCACACAAATTTAGTATAATTCAGTCCCAGGCTTGGAGAATTTCACTTGTCTGAGGGACACACAGGTGATGACAACAGTTAACACTTAGCAGGTGCCACCATGTGCGTGCACATTGAAGCCTCCCAATGACTGTATGAGGCAGGCTCTGATAAATTACTCCCAATGTATAGAAGCTCAGAGGTGAGTCAGTTCGTCTACAGCAAACCAGTAAGTGGTACAGGCAGGACTTGAACTGGGGTCTGAGCACGGAAACACAAGCCCATCTCAATGCTGCCCCCTGGTGCTACGGGAGAGGTACTACGAGGCACACAGGAGTAGCTGGGCGTGTAGGTTTGTGGGAGGTTATCTTTGGAGTGTGGATTTGTGGGAGGTATCTTTGGAGTCCATACTGGTCATCCTCCAACATCATTCACCACTGAGACTGTGAAACCCAAAGAAAAGAGTGGGAAATAAGAGGGTGTCATTTTTCCAAAAATTTTTCCTAGACAGTTCTGATAAGGGTAGAGACATCATAAGCTAAAAGGCTGCAAGGAACGGGACAGCCTCTTGGACTCTCCACCATGTGCCTGGTGTGGTTCTCAGTAAGGGTGACAATGACCGGGGCTGCAGACACAGCCGCCCTGGCCTCACGCCACGGGGGGTCAGGTCCCTGTGGGGGGAGGCACAGGGCCTGGAGGGCTGGGCTGTCTGGTTTCGGCCATGCTTGCCACCCGAGCATCCTGACTGAGGAAACCCACGCGGTCATGCTGCCTTCCTACGGGTGCAGAAGCAGGGCGGAGCACGGCCCTGGGGAAGAGTGAGTCTACAGGTGCCGCTGCAGTGGGCTGAGTGGTGACTCCAAAATACTCGTCTAGATCCTAATGCCTGGAACCTGTAAATGTGACCTTTTTTGGAAAAAGGGTCTTTTGCAAATGTAATTAAGGATCTCAAGGTGCGACCATCCTGGATTCTCTGTGTGTGTGTCTCTGTGTGTGTTTAGTCACTTAGTCATGCCCAACTCTTTGCAACCCTATGGACTGTAGCCCACCAGGCTCCTCTGTCCATGGAATTATCCAGGCAAGAGTACTGGAGTGGGCTGCCTTTTCCCCCTAAATCTAATGACCAGTCTTAGAACAGAGAGGGGGATTTGGGATAGAGACACACAGGGAAGAAGCTGTGTGAACATAAAGGCCGAGACTGGAGTGATGCGGCCACAAGCCAAGGGACCGGAAGCTCGAAAAGGCCAGGAAGGATCCTCCCCTAGAGCCTTCAGAGGGAGCACAGCCATGCCCACACACCTTGTTTTCAGATTTCTGGCCTCCGGGACTGAGAATAAGAATCTGTTGTTTTAAGCCTCCCAGTTTGTGGCAGTGTGTTCCAGGAACCATGGGAAACTAGCATAGCCTCTTAAGAGTATCCAAGTTGTGACATGGAACAGATGTTCTGGAAATCGTTTTTGAAAGTGCCCAGAGCCGAGTCGTCCCATCTCTCCCTGACTGCGAGGCATCTGTGCCAGGGTGACAGAGGCTGGTCGGACCTGCTCCCTCGGGGCCCGTAATGTGCAAAGGGTGGACCCCGTGCAACTTCCAAACCTGGCCGGTGCTTCTCTGTGATATGTTCCCAGACCTCCCAGGGAATTTGTCAAAATGCAGAGGCTTCAGTGGCCCGAGGTTCTGTATTGGTAACCAGCTCCAGGCGAAGCCAATGCTGCTGGCTCCTGGGCCACACTTTGAGCAGAACAGGCTAGAAGACTTCCCTCCTCACCCAGTCCATGTGCTTTCAGAGGGAAGCGTCACATCACTGTTGCTATATTAGCTTCCTGGGGCCTCCATAACAAAGCACCACTGACCAAGGTGGCTTAAAGCCTCAGAGGTTTACGCTCTCAGTTCTGGAAGCCAGAAGTCCAAAATCAAGGTGCTGTCAGGGCTGTGCTCCTTCTGAAGGCTCCAGTGGAGGCTCCTTCCTGGCCTCTCCCAGCTCCGGGTGGTCTCAGGCATGCCTTGGCTGGCAATTGCATCACTCCAACCTCTGCGCTGTCTTCACATGGCCCTCTCCTCTGTGTCTGTGTCCCTAAAACTCCCTTTCTTCTTATAAGGAGGAGACCCATCATCAGATTTAGGGTCCTCCCTAAGTCCAGGTTGTCTCATCTCAAGATCCTTAACTAATGACATCTGCAGAGACCCTGCTTCCAAATAAGGTCACGCTGCGAGGTTCAGAGTGGACAAACATTTGGGGAGGACACTATTTACACCACCCCAGGTGCTCAAGACAGATGCAATGAGAGACTTTCCCATCCTCATCACAGAGATCTCACAAACGACCTTGACATCAACTATAAATGACTTTGCCTTCTCCATGGCTCAGCCTAGAGTGGGATCTCACTTTCTTCTTCATAAACCCCCAGCCCCAACCACCACTGACCTCACTAATTCCTGCACCTGTGTGGAGTACTGGGAATGGATTAGAGCGGCTGTCTGGGTGGAGAGAGTTAGCAGAGTGGGGTCTTCTCCCAGCTCCACCATTATTAAGCAAATCACTACATTCTGGGTTCCCATTTCCAGGTCAATAAATGAAAAAGTTGCAGAGGATGGGCCATTTTAAAAACGGGAAACTGTTTGCAGAAGTATATCTACATATTCAGGGACACAGTTGAAGGTTCTCAAGCTGATCAAATCTCTGTAACCCACATCCACATCAAAAAACATATCTAGCGCCCAAAGGCCCCTTCCAGGAACTATCACCCCATCCAAGAAAAACCACCCTCTTGACTTCTCACAGCATGAGTGCCTTTTTTTTTAGGTGAAATTCTGTGATGCAAAATTTACCACATTTAAGTGAACAATGCAGTGCCAGTTAGTACATTCATGATGTTGGTCAACTACCTCCTCTATCTAGGCTGAGAACATTTTTATCCCCCTGAAAGGAAACCTCACACCCTTTAAGCATTCAGTCCCCACTCTCTCCTCCCTTCAGACTGCTGACCACCAGTCTGATTTCTGTCTCTACAGATTTGCCTATTTTGGATACTTCATATAAATGAAATCAGAAACTACCTGACCTTTTGTATCTGGCTTCATTCACTCAGCATTATATTTTTAAGGTTCATCCACACTGTGGCATGTGTCTGCAACTCATCCCTTTTGATGGTTAAATAATATTCCACTGGATGAGTAAACCGCATTTTATTTATTCATTCACAGATGAACATTTGGGTTGTTTCTCCCTTCAGCCACTGTGAATAGTGCTGCCATTAATTTCTGCCTGTCTTCATATTTTATGTAAATAGTCATACAGTACGTGCTGTGTGGGTTTGGTTTTGGCTGAACATCAGGTTTTTGAGGTTGGCCATGCCATGTTGGGCAGAAACATCTGCAGTCTTTCCTCCAGCGCCCTCGGCTGCCAGGGAGCACTGGGTGCCTTCTGCTCTTTGTGGGAAGTGGGTGGGGGCTCTGGTGGGCAAGACCCTCAGCTCCCCAAGAAGACCAGGGTGGGAGATCTCACTAGGAGTCCCCAAAGCTCCCCGGCTGTTGTTGGAAGGCAGTGTGGTAAGACAGACGAGTCGCGTAGGGACACATCACACCAGAATGGGCGTAGACCCCCTCGGTCTCCACAACTCCTACCCATGGCAGGGCCTGGCCTTGCCCAGGAGTCTTGGCCTGTCCCCAGAATCCACTGAGAGAAGGCCCCTGTGTAACAGTCCTCATGGCAGTCTCTTTTTGTTTTTTATTCAATTATGGAGCCCAAGCAAGTCTTACCTGGTGCTTCAATTAATTGCTTGTAAACACTCAGGAAAGCGGCTTCGGCCTCCTGACTTCTCTTACTAAGAGCCACCACCTTTGGAAACAACAAGAGAAAGAATCACGTGTGACCATGGCATCGGAGTCTATAACCAAATGTGATCATTCTCCACATGCGCAAACATGGGATTGAGGGGAGGAAGAAGGGAAATGAAGGTTCCAAGTACGGTGTAGAAAGCCTGGGTTCAAGTTCCAGCTCCACTGCATCTGGCTGTGTGACCCTGGGCAAGTCACTGTCCACTCTGATCCTCAGTTTCCTCATCTGTAAAATGGGGTAAATAACAGAAACTACTTGCTAGGCTGGCTATGAGGGTCAAATGAAGCTGTATATAAGTACTTAGCACAGGGCCTGGCACACAGTAGGTTATTAACAGCTCTTACTATTTTTACTGTTATTAACAGGCAATGTTGGAGATTCAGATATGACACATGTTTTAAGGGAAAGGGGGACACATCTGGGGCATATTTCTTGACACTGCTAATTAAAGAGAAATTGTTGACTCTCTAGTAAGATACCAGTTTCAACAAATGTTCAGCGACAGTTATGTCAAACAGTTCCTAGCATACCAAAGGTGCTCAATAAATGTTTCCTGACTGATAAACACACCAAGGACTGGATGACCAGTGGTGAGGAGCTACTTTCATGCACTTGTTCTCTTGCTTATGGGCCTTTTCTTTTTGTCCTGTCAGTGAGACTCCACAAGACGTGTTTCTGGGGCTTAGCATCATCTCCTCCCTCTGTTCTGGCTGTGAATTTCGAGCTCTGGCCTCGCAGCTAACCTGATGCTGGCTCTTGGCGGACGGTCCCTTCGGCACAGTACTGGGGCTCCCCGGCACGTTGCTGGGCTGAGCTCCTGGCACCCACAGGCCAGCATCCCTACCTCCGCGAGGACACATCAGGCTGGGCATCCCCCTTTGGACTGGAATGGAGCTTTATTCTCCCTGACACCAACATGCCTCTCCCTCTGGTGCCAACTTCCTAAACAATGAATCTATCAGAGTGTCTACTTGTCAACGCCCTCTTTCAGGGTTGCGCTTTTCCTACGAATCCCAGTGATGCCATCTAGGGGAGTGTCTGTTACTGAATTTCTCCCCTCCAAGTGGGCTTCCCTGATAGCTCAGTTGGTAAAGAATCCATCTGCAATGCAGGAGACCCTGATTCGATTCCTGAGTCAGGAAGATCCCCTGGAGAAGGGATAGGATACCCATTCCAGTATTCTTGGGCTCCCCTCGTGGCTCAGCTGGTAAAGAGTACGCCTGCAATGCAGGAGACCTGGGTTCAATCCCTGGGTTGGGAAGATACCCTGGAGAAGGGAGAGGTTACCCACTCCAGTATTCTGGCCTGGAGAAGTCCATCGACTGCATAGTCCATGGGGCTGCAAAGAGTCAGACATGACTGAGCAACTTTCACCCACAAGTGAGCTCTGTGAGCGTGTGGTCTGGTGCACAGAAGGGGCTCAACATAATTTGTTGTGTTAACAAATCCAAGTGGGTAGCACCAACTCTAGGTCCTGTCTGTGACAGCATCATGGAGAAATGCCAGGGGCCAATTCTGAGACAGTCTGATCACAGAGGTGACCAACTGAGGCACAGGTCCTGGAGCCAGGCTTCCTGGGTTCATATCCCAGCTCCACCACTTATTACCTGTCCATGATCAAATGCGTCACTTCAATCCCTGTGCTTCTACTTCCCCATCTGTAAAATAGGGATAATAAGAGGACAGCCTCCCTCAAAGTTCTGCTAGAAGATCAACTGAATTAGCACAATGTAAAGGTAGCTGCAAAATTTCTGGCATGCATTAAGCCCCACAGGCATGGCACCTCTTGGTATGATCAACCCCTTCCTTCTTGTCTCTTATGGGGATAGGTTCTGTCCAGTGCTGCATGATCAGCTTCACCTGTGTTCATCTTTTCTTAGGTGTGAGAAGAGGCTTGCCTCCTCACACAGTGGTTTATAATCTGGGAAGAAGAATTTGAAAACCACAGTGGTTTCTCTACAGCTTCCAGTATGGCAGCCATGAGCCTCATGTGGGTACCATGCACTGAAAATGTGGCAAGTCCAAATCCAGATGTGCTGTGAGTACAAAATATGCATTGAATTTTGGACTTAGTTCAAAAAAAGAGACTGTACAATCACTATCAGCTATCCTTATGTTGATTGCATGCTGAAGTGATAAATTTGGGGGCATGCTGGGTTAAATAAAATATATTATTAAAATTCATTTCACCTGTTTCCTTTTACTTTTTAAAATTAGTAGGTATTAGAAAATGTAAGAGTACATCCGTGGATCATATTATATTTCTATTGGACAGCACAGCTTGAAGGTTTTACAAGGTCCACTGAGAATGTGTTATTTAAGAGAGGTGGAGAGAAATGTATGGTGGATGTTGAGCAAGTGATTTTAAAAAGGTCAGTTACAAAAGCTCTTTAAGCTCTCGTTATTCTGAGAGCAGTCTCTGATCGCTTACCTTCCAGAGTGAATGACAGTCTCTCATTCATTCAACAAGCATTTCCTGAGCATCTGCTATGTGCCACGTACTGTGAACCGAGAACTTAGTGAAGAACAGTGCAGCCTCCAGCCCCACCCTCATGGGACTCACAGTTCAGTGGGAAGACCAACATTACAGCAGATTCCCCAGATAATTCATTAATTACATGTGCTAAACACTTCAGAGGAAAAGCACAGGGGGGTTGAGAGTGTGTAAGTGTGGCCAAACTGACCCAGTTTGATGCGTGGAAGGAACATCAGGAATTCTCTCTCCATTAGGGGAAGCTGGTGATGGACAGAACGAATGTTCTAGAACCTAGGCAAAGGGAAGGTTTTTTATTCTTGCTAAGATGTACAAGGCATAGTTCCTGCTCTGGGGACTCACAGCTGAGTGGGAGACACAGCTATGACAAAAAGGAACACAGGAGGAGGTGATGCAAATGTTGGGGTCTCCAGAGTAATGTGAGGAGGGGGCAATTAATTCAGAGTTTGGAGGGACATCCCTGATGCCCAAATAACAGTAATAATAATAATAATATAATATTCAGAGTTTACCATGGGTGTGTGCTCACTCAGTCGTGTCCGACTCTTTGCAACCCCAGGGACTGTAGCCCGCCAGTCTCCTCTGTCCATGGGGATTCTCCAGGCAAGAATACTGGAGTTGGTTGCCATTTCCTTCTCCACAGAATCTTCCCACCCAGGGATCTAACCCACATCTTCCGCACCGGCAGGAGGATTCTTTACCCCTGAACCACCTGGCAAGCCCACCAAGTACCACATGCTCTTACTATTCATAATCATCTCTCTCCACGGACCCACCAATCACTGGAGGTAGCTTCTGTCATTATCCCCATTGTACAGATGAGGAAACCAAGGCTCAGTGAGGTTAAGTATCTCTCCTAAGGTCACCCAGTAAGTAAGTGGCAGAGTGAGATTCACACCAGTTCTGGTGGCTGAAATTACTGTTCTGAATCCAGATGTGGGCCCCTTTATCCTGGAGAGAAAAACCATCCCAGCCAGTGAGGACAGTCACTCGGGCCCCATTTGGGTGCTGATGCCTTGAGATGCCACCTGTGGCTGTACCAGATCAGGGAACGCTGTGTTGCTAACCTGGGGCCCAAGAAAAGCCCTGAGAAACAAAAGCAACTCATCTCCAGAACCCTAGATGGAGAATCATCAAAGATCAGTCAACAGAAAGTCTGAATACTTCATTTTATGGTTGTCTGTGCTAAGTGTGTGTAGTAGCTGTAGCTTGGGGAAAGGAATAAGAATGCTCTATTGAGGGACTTTGCTGGTGGTCCAGTGGCTAAGACTCCACACTTACATTTTAGTAATGTGCTGCCGAAGCAAGCCCTAAGACTTTGCACTCCCAAGGTAGGACGCCTGGGTTTGACCCCTGGACAGGGAACTAGATCCCACGTGACGCAACTAAAGTTCTCGTGTGCTGCAACTAAAACCTGGTGCAACTAAATAAATAAATATTAAAAAATAAGTTCTACTGACTTCCCTTGGACTGCAAGGAGATCAAACCAGTCAATCCTAAAGGAAATCAATCCTGAATATTCATTAGAAGGACTGATACTTTGACACAATAGAATACTGATTATAATACATTAGAATACTGATACTTTGATACATTAGAAGCTCCAATACTTTGGCTATCTGATGCGAAGAGCTGACTCATTAGAAAAAACCCTGATGCTGGGAAAGACTGAGGGCAGGAGGAGAAGGGGACGACAGAGGATGCGATGGTTGGATGGCATCACTGACACAATGGACATAAGTTTGAGCAAACTCTGGGAGATAGTGAAGGACAGGGAAGCCTGGGATGCTGCAGTCCATGAGGTAGCAAAGAGTTGGACACAACTGAGCAATTGAACAACAAAATTGACTTCTAAAAAGGAATTCAGGGCAGAAGTAGGGGCAAGTGCCAGAAGATTCTGTTATTATTTCCTGGTCCATGCCCATAGAACCAAGATCCCCTGGAAGGGGCATGGCAATCCACTCCAGTATCCTTGCCTGGAGAATCCCATGGATAGGAGCCTGAAGGATATGGAGGGTTGCAAAGAATCAGACACAACTAAGCAACACAGCATGCAAACCCACAGCGCCCTCTACTGTTCATTCATGGTGCTTATCGGTTGTGTGCTGATTATCTCCACAACTGTCTCCTTGCAACGTCAGCCTGCCCCACAAAAGCTATGCTGTTCAACACAGTAAGCACTTGCTCACGTGGCCAGTGAGCACTTGACATGTGACTATTGAAACTCAGATAGGCTGTATGTGCAAAATACGGGATTTCTAGGTTTTAGAATGAAAAGAAAAAGAATGTAAAATATCTCAGTAATTTTTATATTGATTTCATGTTGAAATGATAATGTTGTGGATGTGCGTGTGTACTCAGTCGTTCAGTCGTGTCCAATTCTTCGCGACCCTATGGACTGTAGCCTGCCAGGCTCTTCTGTCCTTGGGATTATCCTGCTGAGAAATACTGGGGTGCATTGTCATTTCGTACTCCAGGGGATCCTCCCGATCCAGGGATTGAACCC